CCCCCAGCACCCGGCAGGGCCCGTTTGGCCTCGGCTGCCCCTTCCTTCCCAAGGAAGCATTTCATAACTAAATAAAACCAGTGGCTGGGCACAAAAACAACTCAGCTGAGCCAAACCCTCACACTTGCATGGTGGTGCATGCCAAGCTGAGGGGACAGGGTGGCCAGTTGGGAAAGATGAAAAGCCATGTCTCTCCAACACCCAGCGCTCTGGGGTCTGCAGACCTGCTCCCCATCGCAGCCCTGGGAAACGTGGATGCAGCCTGAGCAGGGACAGCAGCGTTCCCCTCCCAGCACAACCAGAAAGCCTGGCTGGGAGGAGCTGGTGTTGAACAAGGCGATGGCCCCAGGCACAGCAATCGCAAAGCCACCGCAGCTGCTGTACTACAGCTGAGCCTTAAAGCCTCTCCCAGGAGCACGGTGGCAGCCCAGCTTTGCAGGGCTTTGTGGCCACACGAGTGCTCCACGGGGCCGGGACAGATGGGGAGGGGGACTCGGGCACAGAGGGCTGCGCAGGGTCCTCAGAGTGCTTCTCTCCGCAGAAGGGCCACCGCTGACCAACACCACCTTTCCCCACGTCATGCCCCTTGTGACTCTCCTGGAGCGGGACGAGGCTCTCACGGACAGCCTGGAGCCCTGGGAGACCACCGACAATGGCGTGGAGGTGGTCATGGCCCACCTGGAGGCGGCACGGATGGTGGCCCACCATGGTGGGCTTTACCACACCAACGCTGAGGTGAAGCTGCAGGGTAAGCAATGGGATGGCAGATCCCCTTTCCCTCCACTGCATTCCCAGTGTGCAGCTGGGTCAGCTCCAGCCCAGCACTGGCCGGAGCATCCCATGGGAGCAGGGTCCCTGTCTCATCCCTGTGGGACTGAATCTCTCTCCCTGCAGGTTTCCAGGGCAGAGCGGAGCTGCTGGAGGTCTTCAGCACTGAGTTCCAGCTGCGGCTGGCCCGGGGGCGGCGCGGGGGCGCGGGGCGAGCAACGAGCGCTACGAGAAGTTCGACAAAGTCCTCACTGCCCTGTCCCACAAGCTGGAACCAGCGATGCGCTTCAGTGAGCTGTAACCCCCCTGGACGCTGGGAGCCCTCTCCCAGCTCCCAGCCTGTTCCCCCCCACGACTGTGGGGCAAGGGATGGGGCCAGGCACCTGGCACCAGGAGGAGGACAGATAGCCCAGAAAGGTGCTGGGGCACAGATCAGCAATTCTGGGACAAAGAGGAGGAAAAACAACCACATCCCATCTACCACCCACCTCCCTGGGACACGAGGCGTCAGGGGGTCCGCACCACTGCCCTGAGGGACAGGGACAGCGTCTGGGCCGGCTAGTGCTGGCATCTACCATCTGCCCCACCAAGGCCTGTGACTACACGGTGCCCCTCACCTCGCCCTTTGGTTTTGTTTCTTTTCCATCTCCGTCTTGCCCACAGCCGCCGGATCCCGCTTGTAAATACATTTTCACAATCACTTCTCGATGTACAGACTTGTGAAGGACGGTTCTTGTTGTACATAATTATGCTCATTCATTTCGTCTTGTAAATACATGTACATATCTCATGGGTTTTGTTCTTACCTACAATAAACTTTTATGCTGTTCCTCAAGGGGATCCCCTCTCCCGTGGGTGTCATTCAAACGAGGCCCTGGCTCCCCCCGGGGTGAGCAGAGCCGGGGAAGGGCTGGTGAGGGTGACCACCGTGCTGAACCCAGCCCAGAGCTCTGCGGTGGCCCATGGCAGCCCCTCG